AAAAGACATAAGACTGCAGCTTATTTATTGTGATGAAACAGGAGTTAATAAGATTACTCCTACTCTGCAGTTACTTTTTCATCTTTTGCAGCCAAATACTGGGGTTTTTGTTAGCAGGCAAAAGGAGGTCAGCTCATTTAAAGAGTGCTGATGCTAGAAATAAACACTTTTTTCCCTCAAGTGGAACTCTGAAACCTAGGCTCAGTTGCCCAACTGCCAAAACTCCAGTCTTTAAACCAAAATGGCTTTTAGCACTGGAATGCTGCATCCCTATAACAATCACTTATGTAAATGACAAAAAAAAAATTGAAAAAGAAAAAGAAAAAAGAAAGAAATGTACTGTAAACTTGTAATAATCGTGGTCCTTGGCAGATGGCTTGTTCAGCAATGTGGTAACTGTATCTGAAAGGCACTGCTCAAGTAAGAATTTGTGGTGGAGAATAAAAACGTAATTCCAGTACCATGTTGTGCAAGGTGCTGCACAACTGCATAGGAAGCACTGCGCTGGAGTGCTTGTCACAGACCTTTCTGCAAGAGGATGTATTTTGTGTGCGTGTAGTTATCTGCTTTGTTGTTGAGCAAGCTTTTATGAAAAAGTAGCTTATTTGAGGGACAGTGTTGTTGTTTGTAAAGAAAAGAAAAACCCACCAAAAAAAACCCACAACAAAAAAACCCACACAAAGAGTTAAAGCCATCTGCCTGAAAGCATTGTGTAAAACACACACACGATGTTGGGGAAATAAGCCAATTATGTGTGCTTCACAGGAGGTGGGGGACTGACCTTTGTGTATAATTAGTTCTTTTATTTAAAGCAAAGATTTTGAATAGAATAACTAATTAGCTGTCATAAATGGCAAATTGAAGATTTTGGCCAGATTCCTTGGGGAGTGTGGGAGGACATCCCTCCTCCCAGCCCGTTCCCTACGCTCTGGCTCTCCTCATTAGGGTTGTTTTTAGTTCTCTGCCGTGGTAATGAGGAGTGCAGTGGCGGCACTTCTCGGAGCCCCCTCTAACAAGGCATGAAATGCAGGTGGAGGAGCGCACCGCCTTCAGCTCCTGCCGCTTTCACTCCGCACATGTGGCTGTAGCGGGGGGCTTGGGAGGGAGAGGGCGAGACTGAGGGGGGTCTGAAAAGTCCTGGTGATATCACCTGTGCTCTGGACTTGACTGTATAAAACATAGGCAAGCTGCAAAGCCTTGATGCATATATCATTAGCTAGCAGTCCCGCATTACTCTTTCAGACCAATTAACCTTTAGAGTTGTATTAAAGAAATTAGGTGGTGAACTTCCATGCTTTCATAAGGGACCAGTAGCTCTCTTGCAGACCAGAGCACTGTGGAGCTGTACGCAATAGGACCATTGCAGATAACTGTTATTTAAAAGGTCTAGCATTTATAAAAAGTTCCCAGGCTCTCTTGGAAACGAGGCTTTATGAACAGTGCCTTTAGAGGAACTGCAGCTGATTGCCATGTGAATAGAAGTATCAGTAAAATGGCTTAGAAAAATTTAGAGGTGTACTTAGTGGACACTTGTGTTATAAAGCCAGCTGAATAATTTTATGAAAAGACCCCAACTGAGAAGATACAGGCTGATTAAAGCTGGTTTGTCTGACTGTGAATAGAGGTAAAGTTTAGATTACTCACTACAGTAACAGCCTCTTTAGACACAGCCATAAATTTCAGTATGTCCAGAGGTGGTGTCTATAATTTTTTAATGTGCATTGGAGCTCCGAGCACTCAGAACAGGTTTTGTTTTGTATTTACCAGGAGCAAGTCTATTAAGTTGTAAAGGGCAAAGAAGGGAGTGCAGGTAGCCAAAAATAGAAAGGCTTCATCTACTGTTTCTAAGAAAAGACAGCGATGGATGGCTAGCAACAGGAGAGGAGAGAGCAACTTGATGGCACTTTCAGAATTTGGTAATCAGTCAGCATTCCCTTTGTGAGCATGTATTTAAACAGCTGAGTGTCCAGCTGTTAATTTTCCTACCTCTGCAACACGTCTTCTCTTCTTCTTCTCTAAACCTTGCCTGCAGAGCGCGTGTGGAATTTGTTGAAGGTGAGCCCTTTGTTTCTTGACGGTCCTGGTTAGACACCACGTGCCCCTGATCAAACTGAACTAGGTACCTTGGCATTTTTTTGAAAGTACTGGGGGAAAAATCTACATAGAGAAATTAAGCAAGCATTGCAGTCGTGCAGTGGGGAAATTTCCAAAAAGAAAGAGCAGCTGGGGTTTGGTATTGGCCGTGTCCGCTCTCTGCAAGCCTCTGACCATGAAAGGGGTTAAGCTTCTGAGATGCTGCTCTCTTGTTGCTTGGAAATGACATGACAAGCATGCGAGGGACCCTTGCTGATCAAGTTTGGCAGTTTCTGAAATTTTGTTTCACGCTTTGCCTGCTGTGTCAACTCACCAGCTAATTGCAGCTGCAACTTTCTGTATGGTGTGTGTGCTGTGTGCAGACCGGTTGGTTGGGATGTCGGAGGGAAGCCTCACACACCAAAATGTAATTTCAAAACACTGAACCTGACCAGCAGAGGCTGACCTTGCTCGTTATTATCTGAGTGGGAATAGCAGCTTTGAACATCATATGATCTCTGAAATGGTACCTTTTTTCATTAGAAAGTTCACTGACCAAATACATAGCTTTTTTCCTTGCTTAAGGTACTGTTTAAAAAAATATATATCTGTTCCTTTGCTAGTTATTAGAAGAAAATCAAAGTGTTACATTCCCCTCATTCGCAGAAGCCTCTCCTAAGACAATGGTGTGCTCACAATAGCAGGAACAGAGAGGTGGCAGTGAGCGAGGGCTGCCAGGGCCACAGACACAACAGGAACCACCACTACAGCAAGCCCATGGCCATCTGGGCCTGCTTGCCACCGCAGGAGACCCTCCTTGCCTGCCAACTTGCCCATACCGATCAAACCAGCCTCTCCTAATGGTCCAGCCATGGTTTTGTCCCTACACAGCTGCCCTTGCGCTTGACCATGCTGCTGTTATAGTGGACCCTTGCTCTGGGTGAGGAGAGCTGTAACTGCAGAAGGGCATTGGTTTCAAAAGCACTCCAGGGCCTTGGGAAGTCCCATCTGGCTGAAGATCCCATATTTCTGAATCGCAGAGATAGTCTCAGACCCCACCCCAGAGCAGTTCTCTTACAAGGGAGTTTAAGGGGCTCTGCTTATCTGGAATCTGCAGCACCTCCAGATGCAGGATCCTCAGGCTACCGAGATGAACCTTGCAAAAGAATTGTATGATGACCCCTGCTTGTAAGAAATCCTCTTCTGCCTCTAAGGGTACGCAGCTCACATTTAGAGAGCCTGTTTGGAGGGGGTGGGTAATGATTCACTGGTGTCTAGGGCTCCTATCTTAAAATACAATTTGCACATCTAAGTCTTAGTTTTCATAGGTGTGAACTGTTTTCTCTCATCACTGGTACTGATCTTACACAGTTTGCAAATGCCAATTCACATATGCACCCTTCTCTGCCTCAGAACAAGAGTCTCTTCTCACGATGTGCTCTTTTCCTTGCGTGGAGTTGGAGAGAGGATGGGCTGAAGGCTTTAACTTTTCTGAAAAAGAAATTACTCAGAAAGTGAAGCTTCTCTTTGCTCCTGAAATGTACTCTGCAAATAAGAAGTGCTGTGTCCAGAACCACGGGGCCACTTCCCTCATTCTCGTAAGAAGCTCTTCCCAGGAGCACAGGACTTGTGCAGTTTGACCTCCAGCACCTGCAGTGCATTACACTTCGGACACTTCCCTGTCTTTTCCCTCTTTCCAAACACACGGGTGTTTCTCTGTGGCTGTACGTAGAGTTTCTCTCAGGAGCATTATGGGTTGCATATGCGGCAGGCAAACGCAGATTTAAGTTTTCACTTCATTATTGCGTATTTGTCACTGGCATCAAAAGTTTGATTGTATCAACTTTGCAAGCAGATTTTGAGTGTGCTGCAGCAAAGAGCAGAAGGGCTCTTTAAGCCTTGCGAGTTTTTGAATGTTACTTGACCTGTCTCCATGCTGCTGAGACCACTTTGATAACAAATGGATCAATACCTCGCTGTTTGTGTAGAGGTGTCTTAAGTGCTATTGTCGTCTGCTTGCAGCTCTGACAAAGCAAATATTACTGTAGGGGTGGTGGGTTTTACATGTGCTGAGCATTAGCCACCGTTGGGTCACCCTGGCTTTTAAGGAAAGCAGCAAATGTCACTTACTACACTGGCACTGCCTCAGTCCTCTCCGGTTAAGGGGCTGTTAACAATGCCATTATCAAGCTGCTACTTTCCAGGACAGCCGGTGCTTCCTACAGAAATAGTGGCTTAACTTTGTGTAAGGGTATATACCCAGTGACACCTGCTACTGTAGCCAGAATGTCCCCTCTCCTCTTCTCTGCATTGGTTAGGCCACGGCATGCTCGTTACAGACACAGCATTGTCGTTTTTAGTGACTGACACCAGGTAAAATAAAAATCAGTAACAAAGTAAATAGGATTCTAGCATCTCGGTGAGTTCATTTTTTCTTTTGCCATCTCCTGTCCTCTTCCTCCCCCATAATTTATTTTTCCACCTCTGCCTGTCGATTCTGTAAAATCCTCTCGTCTCCCTCTTAAACTAAGAAGGGTGACAGGTCTCGCACTTGTGCCAGTGCTCTCCATGGTAGGCACTATCGCGTAGGAGGAGCTGGAGACAGCAGCGTGAGGAAGGTGGTCAGCAAGTCTCCACCAGCCTCATGACTTGCATGTCCTGTCACCAGCTCACACCCAGCTAGCTCGTGCTTGCTTTGCAGTCCCAGCAGAAGTTTCCAGGGAGGAAAAAACTCCTGGTTTTTTATTGCCTTCTCCAGCGGTACAAGAGAAGAAGGCAAGCTCTGCTTTGCTTAAGGAGTATGGCTTCACTAGTGGTACAGAGGCACTGGCTGGGTTATTCTCAGCAGTCCTTGAGGGCCTTTGAGTTACATTTCTTTTAGAGCAGACTCTAAGCTGTTCTAGCTTTCGCTGAGGCCTCTGTGACCAATGGGGCTCACAAAAGAGGAAAGTGTGGCGTACCACTTATTTTTATACCCGCTCCTCTCCTTTCCCCATTAAGCTTAGTCCAGCCAAGATGTTGGACTGGGGGTTTGTACAGTGGTGGCCCTTCCAATCTTTGTAATTGCCTGTAGCAGGTAATTAACAACACAGGGGTACTGGTAATGAGGGGGAAAGCAGATGTTGACATTGCAGCCAGTTTATTCTGCTGCAAGATGTTAATTTTTAAAAAGTCTGGTGTTTTGTGTCAGGCCTACCCTTATGAAAAAAGATCTGTGTTCCTGCAAGTGTCACACTCCCACTTACCCTGTGACAGCAAATGAAGTTTAAGTTTCTTTTACCATCATCTTCTTGCAAGGTGATCTCCTTGTACTGAAACCAGCAACAGTGTTTGCTCACAGATCTACGTATAGCTACCCTGGGTGCAGGAAATCTGTTCAAGCTGTCCGATATCTTCTAAACGAAGTACTGTGTTTGCGTTGCAGGCGTGCCGATGTTATCTGTACAACCCAAAGGGAAGCAGAAGGGCTGTGCTGGCTGCAACCGGAAGATCAAGGACCGGTACCTGCTGAAGGCTCTGGATAAGTATTGGCATGAAGACTGTCTAAAGTGTGCCTGCTGCGACTGTCGTCTTGGAGAGGTTGGATCAACTCTTTACACAAAAGCAAATCTCATTCTTTGCCGCAGAGATTACCTGAGGTAAATAGAGGAATATACTGTGGGCTCTTCCCAAAGCCTCTCCGCGTGCTGCCAGCTGTTTGTCTTTCTAAACCCCTGCTATGAAAACATGTACTTGTGCGTGGTCAGCCCTGCCCAGCAGAGGCTGGCGTTTCTCCCTCTGTCTAAGCATGGCTTTTTATTTGCTCTTAGTATGTTTTGTAGTTAGGGAGGTGGCATTCTGGTTTTAGGTCAAGGTAAAAGGAGGGGGGCATGACTTAACGTTTTTATTACTATAAACCAACAACAGTGCTTGCTGAGAAAATTAGGAAAAGACTATTAATTCTTCTTGCGTATCTTTGATGTTAGACTCCTGCATATTGACTGAGATCTGACCAAACCCTGACCTTTTATTTTTCAGTGATAGCTTTACTTACTGAGTAAGTTTCCTCCTAAGGGGCTTTTGTCTCCTCCTCAAGTAAACAGCAAAACACTCCAAAATTACAGATCAACTTCAAAAAAATGTTCTTCATGAGGAAGTCTGCAGAGCCCATTGCTAACTCTGAGTTAGAACTACCCTCTCAGTGTGTATTTGTAATACATAGCGACACATGGGGTTTTCTTGCCTAGTGTGTATGGAGGTCTTGTACAAAGTTCTTTATACAAAAACCAATTAATTGTAGTAAGACAGCAGGCCTAATGCAAACATTCTTATGAGGGTCACACTGTAAAACACTCTGAATTTTGCTTTGTTTTTCCCTTGGAAGAATGTACTTGATCTCCAGCTCAGGTGCCTGTTTTCTTTTTCCTCCTAAAGTACTGACAGCATTTCCTATGCAACCCCAACCAGCAAGCGCATCTGAAACAAAACAAAAACAACACCCTGTTTTGAGATAGGGAGGTAAAATGCCGTCTAACCTTGTGGTGTCCAGAGGCTGGCTGGATTAGTCTCAATTATCAAATGCTTCATGTGTTTTGATGTAAAACATATTCCTGAACAGCTTTAGTACATGTTTTCTTAGTAAACTTGAACGAGCAAGTTTCTGCTGCTAATGAGAGCTTAAGCACTGAGTCAAATAGAAGAGGTAAGTCTATTAGCTGCCATATGGGAGCTGCCACCTTGCCTTTCAGCCAGGCAGTGTACAAGAGCATCCATGTGAGGATTTTTGCCCCTGCTTGAGCCAAAACTCTCTAGGGCACACATGAAATGTCTCAGCTGAAATTCTGTCACTCAGGCAGCAGTCGCAAGTCCACACTGGGTTAGATGGGATGTGTCCCTAAAATGTGAGGAAGAGCTTAGGTAAGGATGGAGAATGTCTGAAGGGGGAAAAGACAGGATAAGCAGCCTTTGGAAAGGTGGAAAGGGTGCAATAAGGATGGAGTTAACTATCTTCACTATCATGAATAATTTTTGTTCCTTGTCTTAGGTCTGAATATTTACAATTACCACAAGTCACTTGCTCTGGAAGTATCCTTAACCCTATCTCTGCTAAGCTGGAACTCGGTTTCTTCAGCAGGTTCTTTAACACAGATTTCTAAGCCAAAAACAGCATTTTGGTTCTTCACAGCCCCTTCTTGAGTTCTGCTGTATTTCTGTGTTGTGGACATAATTCTAATGTGTCAATGAAGAATATAACAGCTCTTGATCTTCCCTTGTCAAGGACTGCATCATTTTTTTTCATCATAGTATCACAGTTGGGTTGTGCTAGGTGCTAATTGCAAGGACCCTCAAAACCTTTCATGAGAGCTTCTTCCAGGAATAGTCTTCCTCCCAGAAAGCATAGGCTGCATTAGTTTCTGGAGTGTTTCTTTATACTTCACTGTATTAAACACATATCTTGTTTGCATCCAGTTTGTCAATCCAGGTCTCTACATCAGTCATCTTCCTCTTCATTATTTAGCACTTCTCTAGACTTTGTCATTTGTACACTTGATAAACAGTGGTGGGTGGGTGTGTGTTTGGGGTTTTTGTTTGGTTTTGGTTTGGTTTGGTTTTGGTTTTTTTTAATCTGACCTGAAAGACAGATACTCAGTGTTATTCTACATGTTGCAGAGCCCTACCAGAAATACTTAGCTGGGTAGTGATTCCCATTTACATTTGCTTTTTGAGACCTACGAGCTACCCCATGTTTTGTCCATTTAATGAACACTGTATTGATTTTGGTTTGTTCTAGTTTCATAACAAAAATAACACGCAGCATCAAATCAGACACAATAAAGGGCCGAAGGAGAGCAATATTGATGCTGTTAAACTTAGAAGAACCTTTTTATCACTGCAGTTGTAGACCATTTCTTTCTTTCCTTGGTTTGTCCTGAGAATGATTTTCTGAGGCTTAATCTGTCATCTCCTCACAGGCCCCCATATGGCCTGACTTTCTGGGGCACACCAGAAGCCTGTGCTAGAGATGGGAAGGAAGTCAGGAGTTGCCGACCCTAGAAACAGGCCATGTCCCATCTTTGAGAAGAGATGGCAATTTGTGATGTGAAACATGAAAGGCAACAGTTGGGGCTAGTGCTTGACCATGTCACAGCAGCTTCTGTCACAGCAGCAGTTAAGCAAGATCTCTGAAGCAAACTTGTTCTGTGCCTCAAAGTGTCTCCTATCCCCTCTGCCTCCATTTGCTGGGTTAGAGTAATCCCTGGTCCACCGAGGGAGAAGTCTGTTGCTGTTTTGTGCAGCATGGTTAAATTGTGGAGAGAAGACTCATGTGGCCCAGTGGAACCGGGCCAGATGTTCTCTGTGCCAAATAAATTGTAGGTATTGTGAGTAAAAATGGGGGGCATCTGCCCATATTGCAGGAGGGTACCAAACGCTTCAACTGGCTGCACAATCTCCTCTAGATCCCCGGCTGGTCTGGACCTCCTCAGATGCTGGCTACGTATGCATACGTTATGCTACTGGCTAATTTCGTTGGGGGAGGGTGTTTACAGCTTTCTACTTTAAGTATTTTTCCCCCTATATGAATTTATTCCATTATAGCAGCTTTGACCACTATAAGTATTTCTTACTTGTTTTCTGTTGGGAATAACAAGATAATTGTCATATTCCAGGAAATTTGGCCAAAAGTCAGGTAGGAAGGAATAACATGAATTCTATAACACAGTTGTTAACTGGCATTCAGCTGTTTAGCCAGCTTTACAGCTATGACGTTTTCTGTTCTTGCTAATAAGAAAATGTAGGCTTATACTGTTTTCTGGGGGGTTCTGCTGAACTCTTGCGTTCTGTTCTCCACGTGCTAAAGAGCCCTTTCAGGTTCCTAGGATAGGAATAAGAGTATTGTCATATAGTCCTATATTTCATGGAAGTATAAAGCTATATTTTGTATTTAAAACATCTTCTGTTGCCTTCTACACATAATATTTCTTTCTCAATTTTAACTACTAGTTCTATTAACAGAAGGAACTAAAGTTGTCATCACTGTCTCCTCTGCTGTCTGTTCACTCCTGGTAATTTGAATTTTTCTTCCTGGAGAATTACCCATTCCCATCATTGTATAATTCCTCCACTTTAATAATTTTAGAGCCTCTATCCACATCTTTATTTTTTTTCTCATCAAACAACTTACAGTATTTGTTCTACTAGTCAAATTTTAGCAGAATTCATTCCTAAAAATAAGTTTTCATGCTTCACACTGTACTCACTCCATAAAAAGAGTACTTTATCTGGAGGACAAATGACTTTATTGTTGGCCACTTCCTGTGTATGTCTCTGAATAAGAGCAGGGTGAATATTGCATTGATACTTAGTAGGTCAACCATCATACGAAAAAGGGACTGATTTTGCGCACATAAATGTAAATATATGTATCTTTTATATCTGAAGTCCAAAAGGAACATTGCTGTGTAAGGACCAGGATAAAAATATTCAAGTTTCATAATCTCTTTATAGACCAATTTTTCTCTGAATTTGCCTGGGATCCGAGTGTGTATTTTGGGAATATATGTCCCTTTACCTGGTTAATCACACAGAATCACAGAATGTCAGGAGTTGGAAGGGACCTGGAAAGCTCCCCCAGTCCAACCCCTGCCAGAGCAGGATCACCAGAGCAGTCACACAGGAACACGGCCAGGCGGGTTTTGAATGTCTGCAGAGAAGGAGACTCCACAACCTCTCTGGGCAGCCTGGGCCATGCTCTGCCACCCTCACACTGACAAAGTTTGTCCTCATCTTCAGCTTGAACCTCCTATGCTCCAGCTTGGGACCATTGCCCCTTGTCCTGGCATTGGACATCCCAGAGCAGAGCCTGGCTCCTTCCTCCTGACACTCGCCCTTTACAAATTGATCCCCATGAATGAGGTCACCCCTCAGTCTCCTCTGCTCCAAGCTCAAGAGCCCCAGCTCCCTCAGCCGCTCCTCATAAGGGAGATGCTCCACTCCCTCCATCATCTTTGTGGCCCTGCTGGACTCTTTCAAGCAGTTCCTGTCCTTCTTGAACTTAGTGGCCTAGAACTGAACACAATATCTGGTGAGAGATGCTTTTCCCTCCCCTCACACAGGCTCCATCTACACGCCTGCAGCAGGCTTGTTCCTGCCCAGGGCTGCAAAGCCCCAACTGCTACCACCCCGCACCAGGCTCCTGCTTGCATCATCTCTGTGGAGGCAGCAATGGATAGGGTTCTGGAAATATTCTGAGCGGCTTAGAAGTTCAGCGGAGAAGGTTGTTAGTTTGCAAGTTGGGGCCCCTGCTTGTGCCACCCCTTCTCTGGGCAGTTGCTGTCAAGCTGAGAGCCCCTCTTGCACAGCTGTTGGTGGAAAGCAGCTCTGATCTGGACTTCTGCCGTCACCACAGGGCAAGAGCGCTGGGACGGTCTCAGCTGGCTCCCTCCCCGCTGTGTCGGCGCTGCTTCGGAGCCAGCTTGGTCCGTCACGTGCGCTGATCCTCAGTGGGTTTTTAGAAGAGATCTTTCAAATGTATTTCAGGAGCTGCTAGCAGACCATAGCCTGATCATTTTTTTCAAAAGATAAACTGTCGTCATTACTTGTGATGGAATATTTGTTAACCTTCAGATTTCATAAAACGCTTTCTTGCTCATTTTTTAAT